TATTCCTTGTCACGTACAACCGGGGAATCGAAACCATGCCAGTTGACTCAATGACAGACGTTACGATACAACACGCACGCGCTAACCAATCAGCCATCCAACCAACCCTCGACGATTGGAAGAAGGTTGGGATTAACACTACGCAAATACATGAGACTAACATACAATTCATTTCTTTTTTCTATGGTCAAATGTACAATGCTAGTGAGGTGAATTCTGCCCAGGCAGCAGTGTTTGACGGAATTCCAACTGTCAAGGTTTACTGATGTGCACACCAATCTGTACATGGGTGGACCTCAATTTTTTGTCACATCCAAATGACTAGGCACTGTTTTATTGTCAGTTCTTCAAAACAACTGATAACCATGAAAATATTATTCTAATGAACATGGTACATATATCTTGGTTGTTTCTAGGGTCCAAACTATAACAAGACCTATGTGAACTTCCTCAAACAAGAAATGGTATTAGACATTTTAAAAGGTAGGTTGCCAGGCAACAAAACATATGCCCATAGCAGCTAAATTGTCCGGGTAGTCAACAAGAGTTGTTGCATATTTTTACTTTTGTTGGTAATGAAACATTTATAATACACTAAAATCTGATTAAGAATAACAGGGCCACAGCTCTGGAATCGGTGAAACACAATTATGGATGCTGGACCGACGGACGGGGGTGACAACAATATACGACCACATTTCAACATGGGCGTATAAAAACTGAATTATTTATATTTCTTACCTTGACAATTTCCTTGGGGAAGAACAAGGGCATCACCAAAATAATCTGGCAGACATTTTTCACAGTAAAATCCAGCAGTGTTATAAATACACTTCCTACATTCTCCTGTTGTACTGTAAAATAAAACCACAATAAAATGAAATGAAATGGGTTTTTTAAACATCCTACTGTTTTACTCCGAAGACTGCATGGACTAATGAATATGGGTATACGCCAAACAGTATTCTATGTAGCAATCTTGCCTGGACAGAGGCGCTATGGCTTACTTATTTCGGGCTCCAACTGTCAAAGATTCTTTTACATGCACGTCAATGTGTACACTGAACCTCAGATTTTAGTCCAATCCAAATGGCTAGACCCAATCATAAAAGTAGATATACAATCATACAAATCCTATTCGAATTGTCAACATTCAACACTTTTTCCTGTTCACTATTTTTTAATACAATTTTTTCTAATTTGACCAATGAATTTCTGATTACAGAATTCAATAACTTTTGAGGTGTACAAACCTGTTACAGTTGCCAACAGCGTTGGGGTCGATATTTTCGTTACAAAAACATTTCTGACATGGCCGTCTTTCACCATATCGACCTTCAGGATCGCCAAAATAACCATCCGTACAGAACTCACAACGATTTCCTATAAAATGTAAAATTACCATTAGTATTGAACTCACAACGATTTCCTATAATGTGCAAGATTACCATTAGTATAGAAATCCCAACGATTTCTTATAATGGGTAAAATTAGTATTAGTATAGAACTCACAATGATTTCCTATAATGTGCAAAATTACCATTAGTATAGAACTCACAATGATTTCCTATAATGTGCAAAATTAACATTAGTATAGAACTCACAATGATTTCCTGTAATTTATAACTGATCAACATGGACACAACATCAACATATTGCACACCAACAAATTAAATAAAATGAATCACATGCTTAATTCATGTCTATGGTTGACAAGTGACAACAAGTTCGACTTAATAGGACCTTAGCAAAGTCAATATGATTGGAAAAGTCTGACTATAGTCTCACTCGACAGGATCTTAGCAAGGCTGATGATTATTGGTGATGTCTGACTAGAGTCAAGCTCAACAGGATCTAAGCAAAGCTGATAATGATTGGTGAAGCAAGACTAGAGTCAAGCTCCCCGTACAGGATCGTACAGGATCGTAGCAAGGCTGATGATGATGTCTGACTAGAGTCAAGCTCGATGTACAGGATCTTAGCAAGGCCGATGATGATGGGTGAAGTCTACTCAGTTATAAACCTATATCAGTGATATCCATTCTATTTGTTATTCAAGTCAGACACACATCATCACATAATAATTTTATTATAATATAAATGTTGTGTGATAATTTGCATCTGACAGGTGCCTTATGTCCAACATTTTAAAAAATTTGTACTTGACAAAGGCTGTGACAGGTGCCTATGTCGAGGCTTGTTGAAAACAAAAACATGGCTACAAACCTCCATATCCGTCTTGACATTCTGTACATACAACTTCTTGATTCCTGGTCTGGATACAAGCTCCACCACCTGGACATGGACAGCGTTGACAGTCGTCAGGTGTTCCACCTCTAGCATCACCATAGTAACCGTTGTTACAACGATCACAGAAATCACCCATAGTGTTATGTTGACAGATACATCCTCCTACAACCAGAAACAGATTTAACATTTAGCTGACTGGGTTAATGAAGTCTGCTATGAGGGAAATTTTGCCAGGACAGCAGTGCTACAGCCTACTCTTATATCAAATTCCTGCTGTCAAGGGATTGTTTTACTTGCAGGTCAATGTGTACTTGTGACCTCAGTTAGTTTTTTTTGTCCCATTGGAATGACTAGACACGGTTCTTGTCAGGCCCCTTGTCCTTCACCATTGAACCAGTTTCTTACTCACTAAGCCACCGTGGCGGCTCTCTATTTGGTTTAAAATGTAAAATAGGGGCTACTCGATTAAGAGAGTGATACTCTTGGAATTAAGTGTTTTATGGTTCCAGAAATGATATGGTCTGCTCATATTTCAACATTTGGCTCGATGCTAATTGAATTCCTACATCCCAAAACAGTTTCACAAACAATTCGGTTAAACGTGCCATGAGAGTTAACTCCCTAACATTCGTTAAAACTAACATTCAGTAAAACTAACATGGTCAGGTGACAGAAATCCATTAAAGGGAACAGACGGCATCAAAGCAGAAGCACGACAGATTCAAACATAGTAAACTTGCAGGTAAAATATCACAACACCTTTTTAATTGGCCACTCGGCACAGTGACGCCAATTTTCCACCGTTTAATCAATTTAAGTGGATGATTTATAAAGGGACTTCTGCAGAGACATCGGCGTTTTAACCTACTCCTCATCAAAATGCAACTTTTAAGGATTATTTTAGGTTTGTGGCAATATCCTATCCGAGGGACTAGTCCGCCATCTCACACCAGTGAGGGTGGGGTGGGGGTGGGGGGTGGCGAAATCATGCTGGAAAATTCCACAGGGACTCTCTTAGCCAAAACACCAGGATCGATTCCGGGACCTTGTTAGTGAGCCAGCACCTTACTCACTAGACCACTACGGCTCCCAATAAATGAAATGAAATGAAATGGGGTTTAACGTCCTACTCTTCTGCACTTAACCTGGGCTAATTGAAGACGGGCATACGCCATACAGTGTGCTATGAGGGAAATTTTGCCCGGGCAGCGGCGCTACGGCCTACTCTTATATCGAATTCCAACTGCCAAGGGATCTTTTACGTGCACGCCAATATGTACACGGGACCTCAGTTTTTCGTCCCATCTGAACGACTAGGCAGCTGTCCTTGTCAGGCCCTCCGTTCTGCATCACTGACAAGGGGGAAACCACGCCGGAAAATCGAGATGAACTTTCTCGGCCAATGCAGGGGTCGAACACCCGACCTCCAGGCTAGCGAGCCAGCACCTTACCCACGTGATCCCCACGGCTCCCAATAAAGAAATCACCAACAAAATCGATCATATTCATAAACTTTGACAATAAAACAGAATTATATAATGTATGTACTGGGATCACCTTGTTAGCGAGCATGCGCCCTACCCACTGGGCCACCATGGCCCCAAATATGGAATCAGATGAACAGATCACATGATATTCAAAAATTTAGAAAAATAAAACAGAATTAAATAATGTCTGTACTCTCACCTGTATTTACATCACAATTGTCTGAGTGATTATTACATTCACATGGTACACAGCGAGCAAACGGTCCACCATTACGTGGATCACGTTTATATCCTGGACCACACGATTCACAGAACTGTCCAACAAAACCTTTAGGACATGTACAACTTTCTACCCATGATGCTTCAACTCCACCCTCAAATCCACGTCTGGCGGTCTCTAGTTTTATATCATCCACAAATCCGACACCTATAATACAAACAAACAAACAATTTCTTACATTCTACAAATAAACAAACTTTATTTTAAAATGGATTAAGATCATTGCTTGACATCCCTTGCATTTTTTAAACCCACGGTTCTTTTTAAGGCTACATTTATCACTGGAAGCATAGCTATTGCTAGCTTCAAAATGGTGTATTATTATTATTAGAGAGAGAGAGAGAGAGAGAGAGAGAGAGAGAGAGAAATGATTTAACATCTACTTGACACAAACTAGGTGATTTCGGGACTAACATATGGCTCAATTTTATTTCAATAATTCGCTTGCCCATAGGGTTCTTTAGCAGTAGGAGGAAACCTGAGGCATCAGAGAAAACCCACGAGGTTGAACAGGCGACCCTACTTGTAAAGTACAAGCAGGGAATCAATGACAGATCTTATGATGCAATGTGCACATTTTAACCATTCGGCCACTCAAACCCCCCCCCCCCCCCCTGTATTATTATCATTCTATAGTGCACAACTGTCACACAGACTAAATAAGAAAATATCAGCAGAAATTCTGGATAACTCTACCTTCAACATTATATGTAGCCCTGATCTTTATGGCGGTTAAATTGGCTAAAATTGAAATAAAATCCTGCGAATTCAGTTTGGGTGTCCACTGATATTTGGGGTCTTCCATCAAACGGAATTTGTATTCCTGGTACATGATATTTGGTTCCTTGTTACCCTGACCAAATATGGGTAGTGAAACTGTCTGCCCGGCACCCTCCAACATGACATCTACCACCGAGGCTCTGGCTGAATCTTCTCCAATCTTCAGTTTAAAAGACAGATGTTGATTGTAACTGAAGCGCTGGTCACCAAGGTAACGAGCTGAAAAATAAAACAGAAAATAATTTATATCTTTAAAGTGGCATTAAAGGGGGACAATATCTCATTTTTCATGATTTTCAAGTGGCATTTGGCAATTGAGAATAGAATACAATTTTTTTTATAGGGGTCATTTTTGGGACTAACATATGGTTTAACTTAACTTCAATAATTCACTTGCGCTTAGGGTTCTTTAGCAGTTCGAGGAAACTGGAGGACCCGGAGAAACCCCATGAGGTTGGACAGGTGACCCTACTCCTTGTCACATACAAGCAGGAAATTGAAATGCCAGTTGACTCAATGACAAGACCTTATGTTTCAAGGAACAAGCGCTAACCATTTGGCAATTCACTCCCCCCCCCCTCTCCCCCGGTTCTTTTAAGGTAAAATGACATCGGAACAACTAGATGCTGTTCCTTACAAGACCCTTCGTCCCGCACCACTGACAAGGGTAAACCATACAGGAAATTCATGAGGAATTTTCCTAGTCAACATCAGGATCGAACCCGGTATTTCCTCATTAGCTAGCCAGTACCATACTCACTGAGTAAGTTGGCTTCCCCAAATATTGACAAAACGTAATACAATAATAACGAAAATCTACCTGGAGCTAGGAAATAAACAGAATCTGTATCTGGTGCAGATACACCAACATTTTGTAAAATGGCGTTGTACATGATAGGAATTTGTTGATTTCTTCTGTTCACGGCCGTCCATCTTTGTTTTCCTAAAAATACAAGTTAACATTGCGATTATTTTAAAGTTGAGTAAAACAAATAAAGTAAAGAAGGATGGGGTTTAAACACTGGAGACTTATTGACTATGACAATAATTAACGGAAGTGATAAGAGAACAGTCAGGGTTGCGTGTAGGACCGAGAAGGAATTCTCAAGGGGTGTTTGTAGGACCAAGAAGGAATTTCCCTAGGTTGTGTGTAGAACCGAGAAGGAATTCCCCAGGGTTTGTGTAGAACTGAGAAGAAATTCCCCAGGGTTGTGTGTAGAACTGAGAAGGAATTCACTAGGGTTGTGTGTAGAACTGAGAAGGAATTCACCAGAGTTGTGTGTAGAACTGACAAGGAATTCACCCGGGTCATGTATAGAACTGAGAAGGAACTTAACTGACTTGTGTGTTGTACTGAGGAGGAACTTAACTGGCTTGTGTGTTGTACTGAGGAGGAACTTAACCAGAATGTGTGTATGACTGAGGAGGAACATAATTGACTTGTGTGTAGGGCCGTGGAGGAACTTAACTGACTTGTGTGTATGACTGAGGAAGAAATTAACTGACTTAACTGGCTTGTGTGAATGACTGAGGAGGAACTTAACTGACTTGTGTGTATGACTGATGAGGATCTCACCTGTTTCGAAGTCTGTTAAGATACTACGAGCAAAGTAAGATGGTGAAGCATCACAAACAGACGCCTGTCCATAACAAAAACACTGTAAACAACCAAACGGATTATCTTCACTTAATCCAAAATAACCGGGTTTACATCTGGAAAATATTTTTAAACATATATACATTAAATGATTTCCTCCATATTATGTTAAATCTTTTAATACCAAAAGTCAAATTATTTACATTATAGACGAGCTAGACGAGTTAAAAGTAGTTACCAAGATTAGAACCAAACAATGTAACATATTTTATATGTGTAATCTCCCAAAACTGATGTAAGCAGATAGAAATCTAAATTAATTCAAGAGAAAGAGAGAGAAATGGGGTTTAACGTCCACTCGAAACAAACTAGGTCATTTCGGGACTGACATATGGTCTACTTTTATTTCAATAATTCGCTTGCGTGTAGGGGTCTTTAGCAGTGTTAGGAAACCGGAGGACTGGAGAAAACCCACGAGGTTGGACTGGCGACCCTACTCCTTGTCACGTACAACCGGGGATTCGAAATCACGCTAGCTGACTCAATGACAGGCCTTATGATACAGCGCTTACAATAAACGTAAGGACATGGGGGTTATTTAACGTCTTAGCATTCTGCGTTAATGAAGATTGACGTACACCATGTAGTGCACAATGAGGGAATTTGGTCTGGACAGCTGTTTCAACCTACTATTTCTTGAATTCCAACTTTTAAGAGTTATTTTAGGTACATATTCCAAATTGTGCATAGAACCTCGGTTTTGCAACTATAAGCCGTTTCCTTGCTAGCCATTCCAATCTGCACTACTAAAAAATTGATTGGCCGAGAAGGTTTGAATCAAGCACTCAAGGTCAGTGAGCCAGCGCCCTACCCACTGAGACAATATGCCCCTGTCCCTTTATAACCAAGCCTGGACATAAGGTACCTGCCACAGACTTTATCATGTACAAATTATTACACAACGTATATATACAAGCCTGGACAGAAGGCACCTGTCACAGACTTCCTCAACTACAAGTTATCACGTAACGTATAATCCTGTCACAGACTTCCTCAACTACAAGTTATCATACAACATAAAAGAACGTTGTGTGATGATTTGTACTTGATAAAGTCTGTGACAGGTGCCTTATGTCCAGAATTGTTTATATACATTATGTGATAACTTGTAGTTGAGGAAGTCTGTGACAGGATTGTTTATATACATTATGTGATAACTTGTAGTTGAGGAAGTCTGTGACAGGATTGTTAATAACACAGATATAAAGATGAATTATAAATGACTCACGTATCACAGTTCTGGCCTTCTACGTTGACCTTACAGGAACAGGCCCCGTTTCTAGGATCACATCGTAATACTCCGTCTACACTACCAGCTGCAGAACAGGAACATGCTCTAGAATAAAACAGTTAAATATAGTTTTTATACAGGACCCTAGAATAGAACAATCTTTGGGGGAACAGGTTGAATATTGTTTTTGCGATATCAACCTTAATAATAATATAATAATAATAATGTACATTTGTGAAGTGCCAAATCCATCCAAAAGCATGCTCAAAGTGCAATGAGACAATAGTTATATACACAGTGAACAGAAAGTCTAATAGCATTCCTAAAATAAGTGAGTCTTTAGCTATGATTTGAAAATAGTCGAAGTTTCACAATTTCGGATTTTTAGAGGTAAATCATTCCACAATTTAGGAGCAACTACATCAAAATGTTTTAGTTTTGACTGCGGAAGAGTGTTCTTGTTATAAGATCTCAATGACCGATTTGGTTGATATAGTGTTAGTAGTTCTGATAAATAGCTGGGTGCAAGATTTCATAGACCCTGGTATGTGAGGCACAGGACTTTAAAGTTGATGCAAGCTGGAATTGGGAGCTAATGTAAGGATTTTAGAATAGGTGTTATGTAGGATGATGTTTTGGTTCATGATATGATTCGGGTTGCTGTATTCTTTATTTTCTGTAGCTTGTAGAGACTTTTTTGATTAATCCCAGACAACAAACTGTTACAATAGTCTATTCTAGACAGAACTAGTGACTGTACTAGAGATTTGGTGGCGTCAATCGTGAAGAGATGTCGAATATAACTAATGCGCCGCAAATGAAGGTAACAGGACTCTTGGTGAAAGGGAATGTTAGGCCCTAAGAACAACAACATTCGTTGATTATTTCTTTGATTTGAGGTGATCTTGGAAGCAGTAGTTCCGGTGGTTTGAAAATAAAATGAGCTACAAAACCCCTCTTCTATAATTTTTTAGAGAACTGGGGTGGTCCAGTTTATTTACGGAACTGAGTGGGCCAAGTTTATTTAGGAAACTGGGGTAGTCGAAGTTAGAAAACTGAGTTTAGGTAAGGAACTGGGAGAGCCAGGTTTAGGGAACTGGGGGAGTCTAGTTTAGGGAACTGGTTATTTAGGGAACTGGGGTAGTCAAGTTTTTTTAGGGAACTGGTTATTTAGGGAGCTGGGGGGAGCTGAGTTCCAAAGTTTAGGGAACTGAGGTATCCGAGTTTATTGAAATTGAAGCTAACCTGCATCCTAGAGGACCAAACTCGTAGAAATTAGCTTCACAGCGATCACATTTCTCTCCTGCGACACCTGGTTTACATCGGCATTGACCATTACCATTACACTGCATACTCTCAGATCCTACAATATACAATCAATTATTGTCTTGTGTTTTAAACTTCAGGTTAATATTAAGGACCGGCACAGACAGATCAAGGCTCTGGTGAACAGTAAGCAGCTTGACCAACTTGACCGTGTGCAAAATTACCTCTAGGTGTGGAAATACTGATATACCGAAATACTTTAGTTTAACATTTCCATATTAGCCTGTCTGCGACAACCAATTCCACTTGACACAAGTTAATTCATTTCGGGACAAACATATGGTTCAATTCTATTCCAATAATTTGCTTGCACATAGGAGTCTTCAGCAGTGGGGGGAACCGAGGTTACTCCTTGTCACGTACAAGCGGGGAATCGAAACCATGCCACTTGTCACAAGGACAGACCTTATGATTGAATAGATGTGAAATACTGTGTTTTGTTGTCGAGTTTTCCCAAAATTCATCAACAACGAGAATAAAACTTAAAACTTACCGACTTCGTTACACTGACAATCTATACATCTATTTTCTGGTACTCTTCGATAATGATTGACACGACAATTCTCACAGTTAACACCATCGGTATTATCGCGACAATTCTCACAATGGCCACCATGACCTGTTGCTCTGTACAGTTCAGGATCAAAATAACACTGATTGGATAATCCATTACAGTTACACGCTGAAAATATAAAAAATAATATTTGGTTGTTTCTAAGGAATATCCATTAAAATGATTGGAGAATAATATAATGAAATGCGGTTTAACGTCCAACTCTTTTGCTCCGACTGGGCTATGAGGGAAATTTTGCCCGGGCAGCGGCACTATGGCCTACTCTTATATCAAATTCCAAACTGCCAAGGAATCTTTCACGTGCATGCCAATCTGTACACTGGACCCCAGTTTTCCGTCCCATCCGAAAGACTAGACAGCTTCCCTTGTCAGGCCAGAGAATAACAGAAAGAAATGAGGTTTAATGTCCACTCGACACAAACTAGGTCAATTCCAGACCAATCTAATTAAAATATAGATCTATATTTCGTTTCGTTTTTTATACTTTCGATGGCCTACACTACATGTAGATCTAACAAGTTATAGGTACCAAGCAAGCGACATTTGACCCGATTACGTCAGTCATTCGATTAACCAATTAGCGACCTCCATGCATTTTTTATTTATTTTTGCTTTGTTTTGATTTCTATTGCTGCTAATGTCTACCCACAGTTCCGCGCAAAAAAGTTCAAATGCTCGATTCAACAGACCATTTGATTGGCTGACCCCTCATTTCAAGCAGAACACGAGTTTAATAACAACGCTTCCAGATCCAAGTGTAGTAAAGACAAGTAAAAATCGAAATTTTGAACTGTGTTGTAATCAGATTGATTCCAGACTAACATACGGTTCAATTGTATTTCATTAATCGCTTACATGTATTGATCTTTAGTAGTGAGAGGAAATCAAAGAACCAGGAGAACATTCCAGAGATTTGGCAGGCCACCCTACCGCTTGTCACGTACAAGTGTGTGATCGAAACCACACCATTTGACTCAGACCTTATGATCTAAAGCGCACACATGCAATCTTGGAATCAAAACCATGTTACCTGACTCAATGACAGACCTTATTATCTAAAGTGCATGCCCATTAAAATGATCAGAACCCTAACCCTGGTCCACACTGACCTAGTAAAGTTGAAAGACAGTTTATGGTCTCAAGAGAGAGAGAGAGAGAGAGAGAGAGAGAGGAAACCAAGATAACCTAGTTTTGTTGACCAGGAAAACTCTAAGACTCAAGAGACTTTGTAGGATATCATCTGCTACTGTATAAACAAGTAACATGTGAATGTATTGTGAGTCATTATGGAGATGAATCGACTGATATTTATTTCCCACATAAATCATCAAACAATACAATTACTGTTTAAATAGGTTCCCAGGCTCTTAAATAAGAAAACTGTTTGAAATTAACTCAAAGAGACAGTCGAATAAAAGAGACAATGAGACTAACATGATTCAATAATTGGCTTTAGCAAAGGTGGAGACCAGAGGATCTGGACAAAACCTACGGCTGAAGGCAGGCGAACCTCCTCCCTGTCACGTACAAGTATGGCATTGAAAAATTATGGTTTAAGTTGCATAAATGAATTAGAAGTCAAGAAAAAAATGGTAGGGTTTTCCAATCATAAAAATGGTGGACCTTTTGTTTTTGAAACAGGAAAAGAGTTGTGAGTCTCAATATCCAATAATCTTCATAAAATATCTTAATTTTAGTCTTGATACTTGCCTTAAATATATCCTTTAATGTAGCATAAAGAGAAATATTAAATAATAATCATCATCCCATTCCTCAAATATATATTATAGATTACCTTTAAAGGGCATTTAGTGAAAGCGGTATATAATAACATTCACTAGGTTTAGTAACTACAACGTTTCAATGAGGATACTCTCACCTTTATCAACAATGCTGAGTATCCTCATTGATCGTTGCAGTTAATAAACCTAGTGAATGTCTAAATATTATCTTTAAAAGGCAATTAGTGAAAGCACTATCTATAATAACAGACAGCTTTATAGATAACATATTCACTAGGTTTGAAATGAAATGAATGAAATGGGGTTTAACGTCCTACTGTTCTGCTCCTAAACTGGGATAATGAAGACGGGCATACCCCATACAGTGTGCTATGAGGGGAATTTTGCCCGGGCATCGGCGCTACGGCCTACTCTTATATCGAATTCCAACTGCCAAGGGATCTTTTACGTGCACTCCAATGTGTACAGGAGACCTCGGTTTTTCGTACCATCCCAATGACTAGACAGCTGTCCTTGCCAGGCCCTCTGTTCTGCATCACTGACAAGGGGAATTCACTAGGTTTATTAACTGCAATGTTTCAATTAGGGTGCTCTCACCTTTATCAAGCAATGAAACGTTGCAGTTAATAAACCTAGGGAATGTTATCCATAAAATTATTTGTTTATATTATATATATTATGAAGCAAGAAAAGTTAATATCTAGAATGAAAGGGGTGATTGAGCGCAAGATGTATATGCTAAATTCTATGAGAGATAAATTTGGGACTAGAATATGATTCAGTGACAGGCAATATGGTCTAAAATGCACATATTACACCACTCGGCCTAGTGCTAGGTATTGCCACTGTACTCACGATACGTTTTGCGATTCAGGTGCTACGATACGATTCGTATCATGATTCATAACCAGGTCAATAATTAACAGTGGGAGGAAACCGGAGAAAATACACGAGGTTGGACAGGCGACATTACTCCTTGTCACATACAACCGGGGAATCGAAACCAGTTGACTCAATGACAGAGCTCATGATACAGCGCGCACATGCTAACCATTAACTGTATGGAAAACTAATTATATGACGCAGCACACCGCAAAACCATAAACAAAATATAACTCGAACTTACGTCTACACTCATTAGCTTCAGTTTCATAAGCTCTGGACCACGGTCTATCATTGAAGAATGGAAGACATTCCTGACAGTTTGGTCCTGTTGTATTATGTTCACATCGACAGATCTGTTGATCCTGTAAACCCTGAGTTGTTATTGTGTAACATTGGTTAGCATGACCGTTACATTGACATCTGAAAAAAATATATCAATTAATTATGCATGACCATTACATCGGCATCTTGTAAACCCTGTGTCATTATTGTGTAACATTGGTTAGCCTGACCGTTACACCGACATCTGAAAATATAATATATTAATTATACATGAGTTACATTGACATTTGGAATATTGTGTATTATTTAGACATGCCTGTAAATAGAAATTAAATGGGGTTTATTGTCCTACTGTTCTGCTCCGACGGGCATACTCCATACAGTATGCTATGAGGAAATTTTGCCCGGACAGCTGCCAAAGGTTCCGTTACGTGCACTCCAATGTGTACTAGGGACCTTGGTTTTTCATTCCATACGCACGACTAGACACTGTCCTTGCCAGTGTCAGAAAATCCTGATAAACTTTCTCAAACAAGGTAAAGGGATCAAACACGGGACTTCCAAGTTAGCAAGACAACATCATATTCACTGAGCCATGGTGGCTCAGACTGTAAAAAATCTGGGGTTTAATGTCTCATAAATATAATAATTTGGTCGTTAAGAGACAATTATATGACAATTTTTATTGTGGTTATGTTTGCAAATGAAATGAAATCTGGTTTAACGTCCTACTTTTCTTCTGCTCCAACCAGACTAATGAAGACGACTTCCAGCGGTCTTTCCATCATCTATTTATTGAATTCCAACCGTCAAGTTTTCTTTTACATGCACGCCAAAATGTACACAAAACATTACTTTTTTATGTCATTCCTTGCCAGAACCCCATCCCGCATCACTGACAAGGGAGAAACCAATTTGAAATATCCGGAGGAACATTCTTGGACTACACTGGGATCGAACCACTTGACGTCCTGGTTAGTGGACTACACCGGGATTGAACCCTGGACGTCCTAGTCAGTGAGTTAGACCCTTATTCATAGGTGAAATATGAATGACTTTTGATCGACTCTTCTTTTACACCAATGTGGATATACCTTCAGGTGAAAGTTGAAGAAACTTTTACAACATGTGGTTTCTTTTGCTTTATTTTCAAATTGTAGGCAATAAGGCTGTACAGGGAATATACATTTTTATCAATTTCCATCTGTCAAGGCTTCTTTTATGCCAATGTGAACATAGGCTACCGTCAGGTGAAAGCTGAAGAAACTTTATAACATGCCACTTCTTTTGCTTAATTTCCAAATTGTAGGCAATAAGACTGTACAGAGAATAAACATTATTATAAAATTATTTTTGTGAGGACTACATGCCGTTTTGTTTTATATTTACCTGGCTCCTATAGATAAATCTGATATGGCGTAGAAATACGATTTTAAAACTTGTGGATCACCAAACACCTCATCACCAAACGTATTCATACGTGTTAGAACTATCTTTATATCGGTTGCCGTTACCCAGTCCTGAAAAAAATTAATGTAATTAAACATACATGGTTAATTTTAAATTAAGTAAGTTACAATGGCCTCCTGTGTTTACCAGCGGCTGCCAGGCAGGATACGCCCACATTTTCGAGAGATGGATAGAAAGTGATTTTTCCTACAATCAACGGCCATAATTCAGGAAATTACAATTCGATATGCACAAATATCGAAAGGAACTAAGATCTTTGTGTTATAAACTTACATTTCAAGTTTCAACAAAATCGGATAAAAATTGTGACCTCTATAGGGTCCACAACCTTGATATACCATATTCTTACGCTATTTGAGAACGAACGGCGGCCATTTTATCTGTCAATTTTTGGCCGATTTTCACGAAATTCGAACTCAGTCGTCCTTAGGGTGTAACGGTGATATAATAATACGTTTTTTTTAAATCGGATAAAAATTATGACCTCTATGGGTCCACAAGCTAAAAACGCAATTTTTCGTACAATCAGGGGCCATAATTCAGGAAGTTACAGTCCGTTATGCGCGAATATCGAAAGGAACCGAGATCTTTAGGTTATAAACTTACATTTCAAGTTTCAACAAAATCGGATAAAAATTGTGACCTCTATAGGGTCCACAAGCTAAAAACGTGATTTTTCGTACAAACAGGGGCCATAATCCATGAAGTTTCGATCCGATACATGCCAATATCGAAAGCAGCCGAGATCTTTTGGAGATAAACCTATATTTCAAGTTTCGTCAAAATCGGATAGGAATTGTGACCTGTAGAGTGTCCACAAACAAATTGTGGACGGACGGTCAGGGGCGACGGCATAATACGTCCACATGAAAATGTGGGCATATAAAAAGGACACAAGATAAAGAATAAGAGAGAAATGGGGTTTAATGAGCAAGCAACACAAACCAAGATAAATTTCGGGACTGACATATATTTTGCAATAAAATGAATTAAGATTTCTGGCTAAAATTCATAAATATATATTCCTTAGGTCCTCTGAAGCTATTATTATTTGAAATTTATAACGACCAGAAAAAATTACATTAAAAACGTAGAAAATATTACATGTAAATAGGTGTCAAAACATTTTTATAACAAACTGTAAATATTAGTCCCTTTAAGTTAGTAGGTACAAGTAGTCTATGTTAAGAATATCAACATTTCTCAATTACTAAAACCTTATGTTTCCATGAAAAGGTATAATATGTAACTTATAAAATTCCATAAAAGTATTTTCAGACATTCCACAATGATGACCATCGTTTGAGGTATTTAGCAGGAAACAAGACATGTTTCTTTAAACAGGAAAGTGGAAGGAAATTACACATTTCCAGTTTCAGTGTCAAAATCAACAAGATTGTGATTTAAGGAGAACCAGATAAAAGAAACAAGTGCGAACTAGATTCTACACATAAACATCAAATCCTGCACTTCCTTTCTCCCCCATTCTCTATTTTCATGCCATGTGGACACAATGTTAGATATTTCTGATACAATGTCTGAAAATTGTTATACTGTGAAAATTGTGGAGTCGTTTATGGTAGCCTAAACAAAACTAGTGTGACGAATGGAATCTGACGTTTTTAAAAAGATACATTATGTAAGATTTAGATAAGGAGCTGACCATTCTTGCTATATATATAATAGCTCAAAAATAGATAATGAAAAATGAAAATATTAAAATTTCATTCAAATTACTTCATTCTGAGCCACATTTTCACTGTTTTTAGTATTGACAAGATGGGTGCATAGTGGTAACCAGGGCATTGGTAAATTCAAGTCTTAGCCTCCCTTTCCCATTTTTAAATTAAATTTTCAAATGGCGAACCGTTCTAATCTAGTTAAAATCTCATGTATCCGATGCCATCGAGAGTTGATTAGATCATGGTCTTGTTTTGTTAATAAATGTCTAATTAATAGTTCATATAACATAAAGCAAGACCTGCAATAGGCAGATTTAGGTCTTGAATAATATATGTTTAACAATACTGTTTTCAATAAACATAATATGAACCATACTTCAGTCTAATCCTTGAGAGGCATTTAGCAATCGTGTACAATATTAAACCATAACCCCTCCCCTATAAAGACCCTTTATTTTAGAACTGACATCTACTTTTGTAACTTTAACAATACAAGTAGACAACTGGTATCAGATAAGGATTCATTCTCCTACTATTATACATGTACATGCATGTGTTTATCTAATAGATGAAACAATTATATGGAATACAAGTTACTTGAAGGATTTATCTCAGCGACTAGGGTTCTCCCATCTTTATCAAGTGAAGAATGTGTTATCTATTTGGTAATGTACTGATTGTGTTGATTGTTTTTTCCTAGAGAATCAATTGGATTGTAATTGTTTCTCATTTCTACATACAATGTACTCTTTCGAGACTAGATTCACTGGTGGGATATTTCACCAATACTAATTTAAAATTCTATCTTTTAACATATCTTCCCATATTAGAAATATATGTAGACCTTTTGAATACACATGATAAACAGTGGTTTTAAGTCAATCTAGTTTATATAACAGTCATTTTACATGTATTTGGTATTTTTAGCCCTTGTCAGTGGGGCAGGACAGAGAGTCTGTCAAGGTCAGTGTCTTAGTCTTTCGGATGGGATAAAAAAAAACCATCATGATAATCAGTGGTTTTAAGTCACTCTAGTTTAACAGCCATTTTACATGTATTTGGTATTTGTAGCCCTTGTCAGTGGTGCAGGAAGAAAGTCTATCAAGGACAGTGTCTAGCCATTCGGATGGGATGGCAAGCACATAAAAGAACCCTTGACAGTTAGAATTAAATATGTCCGACACAGCATGTCATTACGCCCATGTTGATAAGCCCGGACGGAGCAGAATAATAGAACGCTAAACCCATTTGATTTGATGGTGTAGAATCTGTTGTTTTCCTGTAGAATCAGCTGAACTATAATGTTTTATCTATACAACATGTTTTTATTATTATCTATATACAACATAATGTGTGGTAAATACCACAGGTCAGATCTATAGGATGTTGTTTTATTACCAACATGCTGCTTTAATACAAATACATTAATCTCAAGATACATCAATGGTGTTGGATAAGAGACGCATTGTCCCAGGGGACGAATTCGCAGAGGATGAATTATCCAGGGACGAATCATATGGGGACGAATTGTCCCGTACCGACATGAGAGGCATTTAAATATTTTGCTGATGCTAATTTAAAATTCCATTTTGTAATTATCTTTCCAGAAATATGTTTTGATGTGTTTTAAGGTTAAACATAGTCAGTGGAACCAATAGTATTCATTCCCTTTAGTCCCAATCTATGCTTGTGGATTATTATGTGTTAACTCACTGGACAGGTCCATAGAATGAGTGTCCTTTGCCAGAATTATACTAACTCTCTATATAGAATTTATCCTCCACCAGAATTTGTCTGGTCACAAGCTATACTTCAAATTGTATGTGGGGCCCACCAGAATTTGTCCTTTATGACCTCTGTATGCTTGTGTATACCGGTAGTTTTAACTCTCTGGAAAGGGGCCTGTTTCACAAAATTTTAATTAAGATAAAATCCAAATTTTAGTTCATTGTAATTTGATTGGATAACATTAGATTTATTTTAGTGCTTAGCCAATCAAAATTGAAGTATCTACTAAAATTTGGATTTTATCTTTAGTTAAGATTTTGAGAAACAGGGCCCAGGTCTATACCGAGAGAGCTCAATCAGAATTTGTCTTCTATATGTAAGTCACAACCTATCCTTGTATATCATGTATATTATGTTACATATGTTTTACATACAAACACATAAATAACTGTTTGTATATTATCATATCTACATGGTATATATAATAAACAATAACACCAGATATACCTCAGGATATACTTCCTACAGGACACAGCAAAACACCAGTTGAACTGTTTACAGTTTCATAAATAAACATTGAACACAAAATATGTTTATAATACAACGGAGTCAGGCCATAAACCAGATAGTTGTGTGTGTTTGTGATATATAAAATAATGAATATAATCAATTAAGAGTAGGGTGGAGCGCAAAAATGTCCTCTAGAAGGAAGCGTAAACCACCCTACACAACTAATATAACTGCGACATAACTAACAAATCAACTAATTAAACCAATTAACTAACTGTAGGATGGAGCGCAAAAATGTCCTCTAGAAGGAAGCGTAAACCGCCTTACACAACTAATAAAACCAACTAATCAAGAGTAGGGTGGAGCGCAAAAATGTCCTCTAGAAGGAAGCGTAATCCTCCCTACATTTATAATAAAACCCACTAATCTACCAACTAATAAAACTAATTAATTAATAGTAGGGTGGAGCGCAAAAATGTCCTCTAGAAGGAAGCGTAATCCGCCCTACACAACTAATATAACTCCGATAAAATTAATAAATCAACTAATAAAAACAACTAATCAACAGTAGGGTGGAGCGCAAAAATGTCCTCTAGAAGGAAGCGTAAACCTCCCTACCTCATTAACAAGATTCAACAGACCAATCAACCAATCTATGAAACCACACTGATTAATTAAACAAACTCCCCCAAAGATCAATGACGATTGATCGAACATGGACCAAACAAAGAAGCTCGAAAGCAAGCCGATTGTCATGACAATCTTACCAACAGTCATGACCCAGCTTACACTAGTCAATCAGGTCTAGAGTGTCAAGCACAGGATATAAAACCACAAACAAAATAGTCTAATCATTCTTCATCATGGCCGGTAAACTGAACGTCGCACTAACTGGATCATCCTACATCAGACATCTCCAGAAGTACGCCAAGAAAACAAAACAACCTATCCACAATTGCCACAACATACTGGACTACGGAGTAAGTGGGGCCAGGGTTTCATCATGCAGAAGTAGACTGAGCCGAATATCCAAAGCCACAGATATAGCACTTGTTTATATCGGGGGCAATGACATTCAGCCCGACACCAACCCCGGAATACTCGCTGACCATATCATCGAGGTCATGCTAGCCATTCAGGGCAGAGTCGGGATGATTCCTGTCATCTGGATAAATTCCTACCCAAGGCTTAAACCCAGATACTTCGCTGGTCCTCTCGAGTATATCCATATACAAGAGAAGTTAAACCAGCACATGCTGAGGAAACTGGCCCCATACCCCATGTTGCACTACGGGGGAACTTACTCCTACCAGAAAAAGAACTGGAGAACGGCCTCAGAAAAGATGCTACAGAAAGATATGATCCACCTGAACGACAGAGAACACCAAAATCTACTGGACATGATTCGAATCATGATAGACGAAAGTGCCCAACACTATTATGGGATAGATAAGCCCTACCAATGCATAGGTAAACCATGGAAGATTGACAACTGCCTAAGTCTCTTCCATGAATCAACCAGTATCTTTTAAAATGTATAATCAATCATTATTATAATCCATAAGTAATTTATTATTCTCATTATCACCATTAAATTCATGAGTAATTTATCATTCTTATTATTTATCTGCAATTCAGTTTTTTTTTTTTTTTTTTTTTTTATTCCCCGCCCCCCCCCCCCCACGAAGCCTTACTAGACGAAATAACCATAAAATCAAAGTAAGATCAAATACTCTCTCTTCTCTAGCTTTCTTTTTCAGGTGCTGGATTCTTCCTTCAGAGAACCAACAATAAAAGGAATGAATAACAGAAATAAAGATGTAACAACGCCACCATACCGGACAACATACCCAAATGGAAGGAAGAATGGACCAGGACTCATACTCACCAACAAAGCCCCAAGGTAGAGTTGCACCGCCCTGCCATTCTACCGGACAGAACGACCAGACCAACCCAAACGACCCAAAATATATATATATGTACATATTATGTCTTTGTCTGTGAAAATGTCCGTCTTTGTCCATGTCTGTTGCGTCAAATCGCATGCTTGTAAATGTCTACTAACACCTGTTTCGTCCTTTGCACATGTTATCCTACTGTTGTTTATTGTCCTGTGTACATATATATGAAAACCTAACCATCCTAATATTTCTCACTAACCACATTGTAAATTAATGCACCTTGAACACATAACATGTAATTGTCTGCGATATCACCTCAGTGGAAGCGGACGTAAAACACAACTAACAAGTAGTAGTAGTAGTAGTGTGTTTGTGTAGGAGAGAAGGCAAAGGGGGTGGGGGGGGAAGGGGAAGGGGATTAATCTCCATTTGACACAAACATATGATGGTTCAATTTTATTTCAATAATTTAATTAAACATAGGGTCTTGAGCAGTGGAAGGAAGCTAGAGGACCCGGAGTAAACCCACAAGGTTGAACAGATGTCTCTATTCACATACAAGCTGAGAATCAAGTGACAAACCTTGTGATTTAATGTGAATTCAGTTAACCAATCAGCCACCCAATGCTCCCCTATTCCCTTTAATGTGTCTTGATAATTTGTTATGTAATTTGTTAGTATATCATATTTTCAATAATATTTATGATTACTACCCAACAATTAATGAAAAATAGTTACACCTGTTGATTTACATATACCAGGATTCAGTTCATGAAGACACAAACTGTGACACATGGCAGGTCATCAAGTTTTATAAATCATGTCTAATTCTCATTGATATCATTGATATCATAAATATTGTTATTGTTACTGTATAGTTGATAGTTTTGTAGATCAGGTTGAGAGAGAGAGAGAGAGAGAGAGGGTTAAAGTCTACTCGACACTAACTAGATCATTTCGGGACTAATATATGGTTCAATTTTCTTTCAATAATTTGCTTGCGCCTAGGGGTCTTTAGCAGTGGGAAGAAACGAGAGGCCCCGGAGAAAACCCACAAGGTTGGACAGGCAACCCTGGACGACCCTACTAAACCAAGCCAGAGTGCAGGAGGGAGGGTCTGACAAGGACAGCTCTATACAAATGTTTGGAAGGGACGAAAAAAAAACCCAAGAGGCCCTGTGTACGCATTGGCGTGCATCTTAAAGAATACTTGGCAGTTGGAATTGAATATAAAAGTAGGCTGCAGTGGACATTACCCCCCGCCCCCTTTCTCTCACTTTAAAGGAAATAAAAGCTTATTGACTCTACTTCTTGAAACTGACAACTTACATGTAGAAACATAAATCTGTCTAAATATGTCCGACAGTAAATTTATAAACGAGAAATGCTGGTTTGATGATATATTTACGTGATCTGTTAGACATGACATTACCTAACAGCCATGATTATTGAAAATCAAATTGATAACTTACCTGTAACACAGGACTATCTTCAAAAGAAGTGGAACTGGGTCTTCCTTCCAGCGTACTGAATGCAACGCTACCGCCCGTAAGCGGAGAAATATCACTAAATTCATCGTTACATATTGCAACAGCCTCATTTTCACGTGTTATAACTCCACGACGAGGTAAATTGTATGTTTTTTCACAAGAACCACTGTAAAACTGATATGGTATCCAGGGTCCATTTCCATTTCGCTTGAAGATAGCAAAACTCTCTGGTCTCGGAGAATGGAATCTAATTCGTACATAGGTTATAGAATAAGCTTTTCCTGAAAAGAGAAAAAAATATCTAATGAAGAATATGCTTGGGAAAAAATATAAAAATTTATTAAAGAGAGAGGGAGAGAGAAATGGGGTTTAACGTCCACTCGACACAAACTAAGTAATTTCTGGACTAACATATGGTTTAATTTTATTTCAATAATTCGCTTGCACGTAGAGGGTCTTTAGCAATGGGAGGAAACCAGAGGACCCGGAGAAAACCCATGAGGTTGGACAAGCGACCCTACTCCTTGTCAAGTACAACCGGGGATTCGAAACACCAGTTTACTCAATGACAGGCCTTATGATACAGCGTGCACGTGTTAACCATTCGGCCATCTACCCCCACTAAATTTAATAAAGATGCATTGTGTAAGATTTAGATAAAGAGCTCACAGTAGTTCTAGTTCAAAATGAAAAATGAATATATTGAAAATTTCATAAAAATTGCTTATTCTGGGTGAAGTTATGACTGTTTGAAGATGTAGCGTAGATCATTTGCTATCATAACAACAGTACTTGTCAACCAAGACTCAGCCTTGATTATCCATTTTATTGTTAATTTTAAATCTTGCGGGTGTTCAAATCCATCCAACTCTCGGACATTCGATGGTCTAGATAGTTGAGTTTAGGATTGCCTGCCTTCATTAGCCCAGATGGAGCAAAACAGTAAGACGTTAAATCCCATTTCATTTTATTTTATTTTCTTTTAGAGATTCAACTTTCACAATATTGTAGTTTATAAAAGACCATCCATCAATCTTTCAATGGATGATAAGTGGCTATAATTATCTATGACAAAAATTTGGTGAAGTAATAAGTATGTGTGAAAATGTCAATAAGTGTTATGGGAGCAGTCCAGGAGGGCTGACAACCAAAGGAATACTTTTAAAAACATTATTATGGGGTGAATTCACACAAAGAGAGTGAGCAATGGGGTTTGACATTTACTCGACACAATTAGGTCATTTCGGGATCGACATAAAGGTCTTTAGCTATAGGAGGAAACTGGAAGACGCAGATAAAACCCTACTCCTCGACTCCTTGTCATGACCAACCCAGGAATTGAGACCATTTGACTTAAAGCACATGCCTTCAACCATTCAGCCACCCAACCCCATTTCTATCATTGAAATCCTTATACGGCATTTAGTAATTGAAGATATAATAATAAAACACAATTTATATGGAAAACAATCACTGGGTTTATTTCACACTACGTTTCAACAAGTTCCTCTTGTCGTTCTCAAGTAAGTAATGGCAGTATAATAATAGCAAGAAATCAAATTATATACAAGGTAACAAAAACAATAACTAATATGAAACCATCCAGCCTCACAACAGAAAAGTCACCTTATTTCTAACTTGTAAGTATCTACTATCAATCTTACTAATTACACTAATACATTTAACTACCTCGTCTCCAGATTGACATCTGATGCGATGCAGGAAGGTTTCATATTAGTTATTGTTTTGTTACCTTGTTGTATATAATTTGATTTCTTGCTATTGTAGTATTATACTGCCATTACTTACTTGAGAACGACAAGTGAAACTTGTTGAAACATAGTGTCAAATAAACTCAGTGATTGTTTTCCATATGAATTGTGTTTTATTATTATTATTTCTATCATTCTGTATAATTTATAAATGATTAACAACAGTTTAATGTGAAATGAAATGAAATGAAATAGGGTTTAATGTCTTATGTTCTGCTCCGACTGGGTAATGATGACAGGCATACCCCATACAGTCTACTTGGCAGTGACACTACAGCCTACTTTTATATTGAATTCAAACTGCCAAGGGATCTTTTATGCACACACCAACATGTACATGGAACCTCGTTTTTTTTGGGCCCATCCTAATGACTAGACAGTTGTCCTAGTCATGCCTTAAAGTGCGAGAGTTTGCTGTATTGTATGTGTTAACAGTCGGTAATGTAAATGTTACACTAGCTTATAGAGGATTAAAGAGATCAACTTTGAAGATAAAAACAAACTTAATAGACATATAGACTATACTTGTTACAAACTTTAAAACGCTGACTAGGGTGAAACAGAATGTAACATTAAAACGTGTACTTATATATACCTCTTCTTTATAGTATATAATAATATACATGTTACTTTCAGGGATGGACCTACAGGTAGAGAGAGAGAAATGAAATATGAAATAAAATAATGTCCTTTTGTACTGCTTTGATTGGGCTTATAAAGATGTGCATAAGCCATGACGGAAATTTTGCTCAGACAGCAGCGCTGCGGCCTACTCTTAAATCAGATTCCGACTGGCAAGGGATCTTTTATGTGCACACCAATGAATGTGTACATGGGACCTCAGTTTATTGTTCCATCCGGACGAATATACATTGTCTCTTGCCAAACCCTCTGACCTACATGACTAGATACAGGTTTGAGTTCCACGTATTAAGTAGTGCATCTCTTATTTCCAAATCTCACAGTTGGATCTTAATTAAATCTTACTTAATAAATATGGTGTTAATCTACATTGATGAGTCTAGTGGTATATCCCCAGCATAATAATAACACACTTTTAATACTTCTAACAAACCTCCATGAAGTACAACAATAAACCTAAAAATCTCTACTTTTCTGCTTGGTCGGTTAAAAGTCAAATGCCTATTAACCTCCCACTAAAATTTACATTTGAAATTCATCTAGCTGATCGTTTTACAGTAGACAGACGTGTTTTCTCAAGACGTGGTATAAATTTGAATTTTAAATGAATCTCGTTAACAATGCTGTATAAGAATCCCTGTTGGGTTTCTTAATGTTTTATAAAAACAGACGACAAACTGGATATTAACATGTTCTATATATATACACACACCCATGTCATTTCTAATAGTCTAAACACATTATTTACTTTATTGCTGATATATTGAAATGAAATGAAAAGGGGTTTAATGTCCTAATTTTCTGTCCAGTGGACTTAAAACCCATTCCTCTCTCCCTCTCCTGCTTTACTGTAGGGACTAGGCTAATGTAATGAAGATGGGCATTTGCCAAACAGTGTGATAATATTTCTAATTCAAATTGCCAATGGATCTTTTACGTGCACACCAATGGTGTTTTTACGTGCATGCCAAGGTTCTTTAACGTGCATGTCAATGGATCTTTTACGTGCACACTAATTTTTTTTTTTTATGTGCACGCCAATGTGACTTCCCTTTTTCAGTGGTGCTAGACAGAGGGCTTCACAAGAAATCGTGTGTGTCTGGTTGTTTGGCTGGGATGAAAAACTGATGTGCATATGATATGAAAAAACCCTGGATAGCTGGAATTTGATATAAGAGAGAGAGAGAAATGGGGTTTAACGTCCACTTGACACAAACTAGGTCATTTCGGGACTAACATATGGTTTTATTTTATTTCAATAATTCGCTTGCGCATAGGGGTCTTTAGCAGTGGGAGGAATCCAGAGGACCCGGAGAAAACCCACGAGGTTGGACAGGCGACCCTACTCCTCGTCACGTACAACTGGGGATTCGAAACTACGCCAGTCGACTCAATGACAGACTTTATGATACAGCGCGCGCACGCTAACCATTCAGCCATCCAACCACCCGAATTTGATACAAGAGTAGGCCATACTATATTATCAAGAAGAGAGATATTATGCAAAATATTTACAAAGAATTTAATGTAGTATAACTTCATTGATAATATTTTCTACTGTGTGAAATATGACAAATATAAAAATTATACATGTAGTTAGAAACTGATATCTGCCCTCAAACACTTCACAGACCCATGTGGTGTTCTTTTACTTTCCTTACAATCTTAAATAGGTCACAACTGACCACAATATGTTATGACCTCTGACCTAATTACACAGTATGATATATTGTTTCTGGGTATTTATATGTCATGTTCAAGTAGTAGTAAATAAAGAAAGGGTGTTGTATATTGCTCGTATATCATGGTAGATATATTTTACTTATAGCCCTCTATAAAATTACATACAATACATACCACATCTGTGGAACAAAAGCAGGATATTCTGGACCAGAATTCATGCTAAAGAGGAACTATTAACATCAAAATGCTTTTGATCCACAAAGAGGCAACTAGTTTAAAGAAGTTGGAATAGTTTGTGGGCATCAATTAATTAATTACTCCTCATGATAGTAGTTCTTTAAGATTAATGTAGAAATTTTAAATATACATCATATACTTTGCTAGATTCCCACAATCACGATTCCTGCTACAATTGAAATTGTGGTTTTAATCGTGGAGTAATCTGTGGTTATCCTATCAGGCCTTATCATATATTGAGGTCAGTTGTTATAATCTCGTTAATTGTATCGAAACGTATCCGAATGTATCTGCACGAACCAGATCGTGGACTCAATAGGAACAATCCTATCGTAACGCATCGTAGAGCAGTGGGAATCTAGCATAACCAGCAATGCTAATGTTTGATCACTTCAGTGAAAATGCAAGACAATTGGCAATAAAGGCCAGCAAAGGTGCGGTTTCAATGTATATACAAATATGTAGTAAGAAGTCTAGAATACAGCAATACATCAATGAATAGGTTATTTATGTTATTTAGTTTGGGTGGTGTGAATGTGTTTAATATATCTCCTATAGCTAGTTGTATGACGTTCAAATCTATCATCATTTTTTACCAATGATCAAAAATTTGAATAGATATATGCATCAACTAATTATTATAAGGTAGCAAATTTGAATATAGAAATATATTCATGAATAAATTATTTAGTTTGGGTTGTGTGTATAACGTGTTTAATATATCTTCAAGAAGTATACATAGTATAAAATAGTGAATATAATTTATAAAACCAATATTTGAATAAATATCAAACTAATTATAATAAAGGTGTAACCTATTTGATTATAGAAATAAACTGATCATAAAAACTACGTATAAAATAAATTTGAATATAGACAAGTTTCTACTGATAGGCCCGATCAGGTAAAATTTATTTACTGTGATAACGAGATTATATGGGTCCGAC